CTCTGGCATCTCTGAGGAGTTCTGGGGAAGGAAGGAGAGGACACAAATGGATTACCTTGTGGCCCACGCTCTGGCTTTGTACCTGAGCAGACACTCAGGGCTCCATGGCAGCACTGCCATTGGCTCCCAGTCATCTGCAGGGATGCGACTGGATCGCAGGCAAAGCCCAAGATGGAAGAAAGCAGACCTGTCTGCATTTGTCTTTCCAAGGGCTGCCACAATTCACTGCACTTTTCCTCCTGAGAAGGCAGAAACCCTGCCTCCCATACTGACGTTTCTCCTTTTTTGCTTACAGCAATGCTGTGCACCTCGCTGCTCGCGCCTGGCCGTTCCCACAGCCTCCCCATCTGTGCACACCATATGTTGCTCACCCTCTGAATGCCGTTTCTCTCCAATCACCTTCTCATTGCTCACCTCACTTCTGAGCCACCCCTCGTGTTCAGAAGACCCAGATTCCTCAAACCGCTTCGTTCCCCAAACAGCTGTGCATCAACACAGCCAAACCCCCTCTGAGCCACTTCCCAAAGCAGACCCCCAGCACCGGGCAGGACAATTGCCTCCCCAGCTCTTTTCCCACCACAGGAGGCACAGGGGCTGCGCTCTCGGTGCTCAGGGCTGGAATCTCGGGCAGCAAACACCCCAGTCCGTCGCTTCCTAAAGCGGACGAGAGAACAGCAGTGTGGCCAAGGCACAGCCGCTGCCCAAGGGGACACGGCTCCCCGCGGTGTGCAGGAAGAGAAACCCCCACAACACCACAGCCGTTCCCTGCCGCAGACCTGCTGCACGCAGCTCCGGCGCCCGGACCATAAGAACAGCTGACACCATTAAACGGAGGCACGGCGGTAGAAACGGGGGTTCAAAACAACAGCTCGGAGAGGCTAGCGCGCATCCCCCAGCCGCCGGGCTCCGAGCAGCAGGGCTGGGACACGAACCCGGGCCCGCTCGGAGCCGGGCAGCGCGGCGGGGAGCAGCGGGGGTTTCGAAGCGAGGGGGGGCAGGGACAGCCGAGCGCCCAGGGAGCTCCGAGGTCCCGTAAAGCCGGAACGGGGCGTTCGGCCGTGCGGGAGCCGCGCTGCCGGGGGCGGGAGGCCCGGGGTACCTTGCTCTTGGCGCAGCTGACGGAGCGCAGAGCCCCGAAGAAGATGGGCAGCAGCGCCATGAGGACGAGGCTGCCGTAAGCCAGGGCGATGCCCTCGGGAGTGGCGGGAGGCCGGGCGCCGGCGGCGGGCACGGCCTGAGGCCCGGCGCTGCCGTTCTGCGCCTCCGCCATGGCGCCTGCTCCCGCCGCGCGCCAGGGACACGTCCCCCCTACCGACCGGAAGTGCGTCACACGGCGCCGCGTCAGCGCCCGGCAACAGGGGGCGCGTTGCTAGGAGACCGAGCGCCGCACCCCCCTACGGCCCGGGCCAAGGCCTGAGCGCGGCGCTGCGCTCGCTTTGCTGCCCACGGGGCCGGGCCCGGTTATCCTACTGCCTCCTCAACCCCCCCCAAGACCCGCCTTCCACCGTCCGGCCTGACTCCGAGCCCAGATCCCACCGCTGAGAGCCAAAACCCCCCCCTCTCCTCAGTGCCGTGGAAAGACGTCACGCTGTGTTCCCCAGTGCTGTCCCTTAGGAGGGCGCGGGGCGGCACGGCGGGGGCTGCGGTGCAGCGTGGGGTGTGCAGGAGGAGGGTTTGCCTCCTTGGTGGGACGCTGTGAAAGAGAGCGCTGCGGGCCGAAGGGATGGAGAGGAAGGGGGAATGGTTTTGTGCTGCGGGGTCCGGGGGATCCCAGTGCCCTCCCGGCAGGAGGAGCGGATCGCCCTGAGGTTGGCGGGATGGAAGATTTCGATCGGATCCCTTCCAACTCGGGATGCCCGATGGCTGCCGATGCCGTGGCACGAGGTTGGTCCTGCTGACGGATTGCAGTGCTGGGACACTGCGCTGCATCAGCTCGGACATGTTTACCCCACTGCGAGGATCTGTGCTGACATTCTGCCTGAGAGGGGAACACGGCGGCGGCTGCCTAAGTATGGACAGCATTTTTTGAAGGGAGACAGAGGATGGGATGCAGGACAGAGCTGAGCCCGTACCACGTGTGAACCAGGTCTGGGAGTCCTGAGTTTCTCCTCCAGCGCCGGGCTGGTTGTGTGCTCTGCCCTGCTGCACTGTCCCCTGCACACCCTCAGCCCACCTGTAACTGCGCTCAGCAAAAACCTCTCTTGCAGAAATGCCTTGTCAGTGAAAGCAAACTTCCTGTGCTGCTGGACGAAGGCCAGAGCTCTGATGGAAAACTGCCCAAAATGCGTGTTTTCCTTGTGAATATTCCCTTCCTCTGAGCTGCTGGCATCCTGGCCATGTCACCAAGCCACGTCCTCCTCCTCAGTGCCACCCTGTCCTCCTCTCCATGGCTCGGATGTCCCACAGTCCCTGGCGCTGCCTACACCCATCACCACAGCCCTGGTTTGGCAGCTGCTTGATCTGAGGCACAGGCCTGGTAAAAATGGATTTTTCTGCATTCTTTCCATCTAGCAGCAAAGCCCAGAAAGAAGAGTCGAAATTCAGCAGAGGTCAGCAGGAGCTGCCCCTGCCTTTCAGCAGGACGAGATCCTCTGCTGCCAGCAGGGAAATCTCTTCTGTCCTGTTGTGGAAAAGAAGGATTCACGCAGCGTAAACCAGCACTGCACATTGTTATGGGGTGAAATCAGCCTCCTGAACCTGTGGTGTATCCCAGCCTCTGTGATGCCACTGTGGTCCCACCACGTCCCCTCCCCAGGGTCTGGTTTGGGGTTCACAGGTGGCAGTGAGGATCACAGCATCTCCACTGGCTCTGGGAACTGGCCCAGAGCCGAACCATGGGTGGGGAGCAGAGCACAGCAGGGACAAAAAGGCCTGTGTTACATTATTCATTTTTTTTTCCCCCCAATATTTTTCACTTCTTTAAAAAAAAAATAAATCTATTTCAGGACCTGGGGTGATTGATAGTTTCGTATTCCAGGCAGCGGGTGGATGAAAAGCCCTCACAGGAATGCTGATGTGCCTTTCTCTGGGGCTGGTCTCCTGCCTGGACGCTGTCCTTATGGTGTCACCAGTTCTCCCACAAAGAAAAGGGACAGGCAGTGTGCAGCATCCCATCCTATGACACGGCGCAGCGAGGACAGCCAGAGTCCAGGTGACTATAACCCAGCCTAAAATGATGTCTCTGGGTGTCCACTCACCCCCAGATCAGTGCCAACATGCACTGGTGTTTCTCTGGGTCTTGTTTCTCACAGACCTGTGCCCTGTGAGCAGGCTGCCAAACCTTCTGCATGTTTCTTTTTGCAGGAAAACCTCTGCTTGTGCTCTCAGGGCAGGTTGCAAGCGTGGGGAGAGCCCAGAACGAAGGCCACAGGGTTGCAATCCACTCCTGTCCTTCCAGCACGTGCTGTTAGACCAGCACCCAAAATAGCAGCAGAAATGCTAACACTCTTGCGTATTCTGCTGCTGAGTCTTTTATCAAAAAAACCTTCAAAAGACCTTTACAGCCCTTCTCCAAAGCGGCCAGCAGCTCTGAGGTTCCACTGAGGATCCCCAGCTCCCCACTGGGTGCCCTTGCTCTGGCACTGGGCTGGGCTCTCGGAGCTATAGTGGGGTCCGTCCAAGGGACTGCTCCCCAGCCAGTGGCCATGGGTCTTTCCTGCAGCTCTGGCTGGGAAAGAGGAGGGACTTCCCAGTGGGGCCTAGAGGGCAGGACCTGCTGTGTGGTGCAGGGAAGTGGCCGCCCTCCTCCCCTGTGCTTTTCTTGGCTGCTCCTCATGAGAAGATGCGCTGCAGAGCGGTGAGCCGGCCTTAACTCGGCCCTCTCCGAGTGGGGACAGTGGCTGTGCAGGGATGGATGGCGCTGGGATACGGCAATCCCAAGAGCACTTCTTAGTGCTGCCAAGCCCTGGCTATACTGGCCCAGGTGAGACCCCAGCTGGGGGCCACAGGCAGCCTCTGTCCCCCAGCAGCACCTCCTCCCTCTGTCCTTCCCTTTCCCAGTGCCTTGCTGCAGCCCCCCCAGCCTCTCCTCCCACCCTCCAGCACGGCCGCATTTTTCTGGGTTTGAGCTCATTCTTTCCACTCCCCTCGCTGCTGGCTGCCAACTTTCCATCCCGTTTCCCCCCCCCCCGCCCTTCCCCGCCTCCCGCCACAGGGAAGCATTGGCCACAGCTGCAGGACAGACTTGCAGCATCATATCCAGCAGCATCAGGAACTGGGGCACAGAGCAGCACCTGAAGCCAAAGCAGCAGCAAGGAGGGAGCAGCAACACTGCAGACATTGACAGGTTCGGGAGTGCCAAGGGATGCAGGAGAGCCCAGCTTTCAACAGAGATGGGAAAACATCCCCTTGGGCCCTTCTTGGCTACACGATGCTGGCTGCTGGTGGCTCCCCATGCTTGGGACGCAGAGCAAATGGAAACTCCTGACCTGTGCAGGGCAGGAGGGCACTGCGGAGCCTCCCTGGCACGGGGCCCAGGCCTGCTGAGCAGGCTCCCCTGCCACATCCCAGCCACTCGCCGGCAGTGCAGCCTAAAAACAACAGACAGAGCCCACGCAGCCCCAGTGTCACCTTCCTGTGTGCTTGGGGTCACTTGCTGCTCTCTGCAGCCCGGCACGTCCTTTCCTGTTGCCGCTGCCCCTTCCCAGGGCACCCAGGGACTGGCTCCTGGCCTAGGCTGGGTCTCCCAAGGGGCTCCCAAATCCTGCACGGAGGCTTTAAATCTGCACCATAGCAACTGGAGTTGGTGCCGAGTCCTTCTCTGAGGACTTTCTGGGAAGAAAGAGGTGCCGAGGGCTTCTGCCATTGCAGGGGATGATGCTGTGACTGCTGGGTAAGGAATTGATGCTTCAGCACAGGGTAGCTAAAGAAATGTGGCCAGAGGCTAAGGCTGCTCCTGCTCTAGGGTGTTCAGGCTGATGAAGCTGAAACTCATGCAGTCTGGCTGCAGCGGAACCTCTGCCACAGCCAAGGCACTTGGCTCCCCATGGCAGAGACCAACATGTCCCAGACGTGGTTTATTCTGCAGATCGAGGGGTTTCCCCATTGTACTGGTACAGAGACAGCAGAAAAACCTCAGGCAACACAGGTTCCAGGGAGACATGGCATGAAGCTCTGGCATGGAGGGGCTGGGGGTACCAGATGATGTTGCCAGAGCTCCCCCAGCCCCTCTCCCTGCCAGGCTCCTGTCCTTGAGGTGGGCATTCACTGCTCCCTGCTGCCCTGTGAAGGATGGGAGCCACTCTGCCTCACTGCTGGCAGCTCTGCAGGGCCACAGCCTCACCTCCAGCCCCCCAGGAGCTGGGCAGCCACCCTGATACCCACCCCACATGCAGCTGAGGGGACCCAGCCCCATTCATCCCCCATTCCAGAGGAGAAGCAGCTAGACCTGGAGTGCCCTGGGTGTCCCTCAGCAGCTCCACGTCCTCAGAATCGCACCGGCCCCATGTGTGCTCAGCTGGCACCACGCTGCTGCTGGCCACGCTGATGGCAAAGGCAGTCCCCAGCCTCCAAGTCCAGTGGGATGGGCTCGTGGCAGCTCTCAGAGCACGGACAGGTCGTGGCACGACTTGGAGCGGGCTTTGAGGGCTACCTTGCTGCTGTTCCTGGTCACCAGCCTGTCAAGGAAGCGCCGGGCCCTCTTGGTGAGGCTCTCCTTGCGCCGGTGGCTGGACGCAGGCTCTTTGCCCTCACGGCGCAGGCGCAGCTGCCGCACCACCCCCTCAAAGAGCTCATCCACGTTGTGCTGCAGGGCTGCCGATGTCTCGATGAACTTGCAGTCAAAAACCACGGCACAGGCACGGCCCTCTGCAAGGGGGAGTAGTGAGGGGGGTAGGGAGGGGTATGGCCCCGCTGGCACCCTCTGTACTGAGGGATGTAGCAGGAGCCATAGCATGGAACATGGGGCAGACACGGACATGCTCACCTTCAATGGAGACCTCGCGGCAGCGCACCAGGTCGGATTTGTTCCCCACTAGGATGATGGGGATGTCCTCAGCCTGCCGCGCGCGGCGCAGGTGGATACGCAGCTCCGAGGCGCTCTCAAAGCTGCTGCGGTCCGTGATGGAGTAGACGATGACGTAGGCATTGCCCACCTGCAGGCACTGGCTGCGGCGCCAGCTCTCCTCGCCCTGCCAGCACATGGGAAATGTCACATCACTGCACTGCAAGGGCTGGTGGCATCCCCATCCTCCTGGCTTTGACCAGGCACGGTGCCGGGGATCTGCCCGCGTGCCCCAGCAGCAGCCGCACTGTGGGCAGCACGTGCACGGCTCCATCAGTAAAACACAGCTCCTGGTTTTGGGGCACATTTCATTTCCTTCCTCTATCAGCAACAAATTAGGGCTCAACTTGGGGACAGAGCCACTCCCAAAGATGCTTTTAGCCACACAATGCCAGCATGGTGGGCACAGCATTGTGAGCCACGCAATGCTTCCAGCTGGGCAAAGTGGGATTAAGCAACTGTGGAAAGAAAGGGCTGTTCTCAGGGCAATGCAGTGCTGCAGCACGTCTGGACAACATGGGCATTTGCACAAAATGCAGCCCCAGCCTATAGTGCTGCTGTGCCTACGTGCAGCCTGGGTGCCAGCTCCATCCTTGTTCCATGGGACCCATCGTGACAGTCGTGGAACCCCAGCACAGCCATGGGGGGAGGCAGAACAGGGAGAGGGAGGCGGCGATGCTGCACTGGGATTTCTGGCAGAAAGAAGCCTTCACTGCATGGGGCAGAGGGAGTGCCCCATGCCAAGCTCTTGGGGCCACAGCTCTGCTGAGAGCACGTGCCCTGGCTGCTAGCACTGCCTCACGTGGATTTGCTCCTTTTAGACCCACTCTCAAACCATTAGCTCACATTACGCTCTGTCCTGCAGCCCCTTTGTCCCCTTTTGCAAGGGACATCGACGTGGGCTGAGGGACACCCACACAGCTCCTGCCATGCAAGGCTGCTCCTGCATTGACAGGGTCTTTCTGTGGGAGCCCCATCAGAGAGGCTGAGGACACACACCTCTCAGACTTCGGCACAGCAAGCAAAGAATGTTGGAGAGGCTGCTCCAGGCCAGAGGTCTGACCTCAGCATTCATTCCTCGGCACCCCCAGCCCTGCCAGCAGCTGGGGCTCATGCAGCACCCAGCCCAGGTTCACAGCCCCATGTACCCTCCGTTCTGGCTCCCAGGTGTCCAACACCAGCAGCGTGGTCTCCTCGCCATCCACCAACAGTGTGCGTTCGTAGGCAGCTTCTGCAAGACACCAGGAGAGCTCGGTTGGTGCAGCCGAGACCCACCAGTGGTCCTCTCACCCCAACTGCATTGCTTATGACTTTCTGCATTGCTTATGACCTTGTCCAAGCAGGAGGTGCGTGCTGCACCTGAACACACCCCGCTACCTCCTCCCGGCCCCACAGGGGGTGACACTGCTCAGAAAGCCCCTGCCCCGCATGCAGCACTCACCTCCGTGCTGTTCCAGCAGGTCCCGCTCCTGGATGCCAGCAAAGGCATTGGCCAGGCTGGTCTTGCCCACGCCGGGGTCTCCCAGCAGCACCACGCGATGTTCCCAGGAGCTGGAGGAGGCCGAGGACTCGGAGGACCAACTGCCCCGCGGTGCTGCGGCTCTGGCACCCGGTTCGGACGAGGACTGCCCGAGCTGGGGATGGCCGAGCTGAGCCCGAGGCGCGGCACCCGGTACCCGCGGCAGAGGGGTGCTGGCCCTCCTCCGCAGCGGGCTCTTGTTCCCGGGCTGCGTGTTCAGGGTCATCTGGGGCTCGGCTGGCAGCGGGGCTCAGAGAGGCTGCCCCGATGGGGCGCGGTTCCTTGCAGCCCCCCTGTCGTGCAGCCTCGAGGCCAGGAGCGCGGCCCCACCGGTCCCGTTCCGAGCGGCTGAAACTTTCCCCGGGCCGGGCTGATGTCCGCCGCCCAGCCCCGGAGCTGCGAGGCTTTAAAGCCCGGGAGGTGGAGCCCCCCGCCGCTGCCCGTCCCTCCCCCGCCGCTGCCCGATCCCCCCCCCCCCCCGCCCGCCCGCAGCGGTCCCCGCCGCCCGGCTCCGCGCACCCCCGGGGCTCCGTCCGGTCCCCGAGGCTCCCGCGGGGCTCCCGGTGCCCCCAGTACCGGGGCTCGGCGAGATTCTCCCCCCGGGCTCTTCCACCCCCAGGGCTCCTCGGGAGCCCGCTCTCGTCCCGTCCCGGGATGCCGTCGCTGAAGCAGCGCTGGGGCGGCTCGGGGGCTTCAGCCGGGCTCCTGTCCCGCGTAGGGTCGGATCCCCGCGCCCCCCGCCCGGCCCCGCCCGGCTCCACGGCGCGCCCGGACAGAGCGCGGCTTCGCCGCTTCGCCAAGTAAGGAGCGAGCCGTGCCGAGCCGAGCCGAGCCGGTGCTGCCCGGAGGGGCGGCGGGGCTGAGATCGGCGGGGCTGCGATGCCCCTGTTTGGCAGCGCCGGCTCCAGAGCCGGTAACGGACAGCGCGGGGCGGAGGAGCGTTTTGAATAGGGCTGTTTTTATTTGAACCTGTGTGCGTGCTCTGTCCCACAGAGGCTCCGGTCTGGGACAGCAGGCCGGTCCGCAGTGGGATGTGCTCACCTCGGGGCGTCGGGGCCGGCACTGGGAGACCACTGGGGCATCGCAGCAGAGAGTCCTGGTTTGCCTTTGGCTGCAGCCTCTCTGGGGCAGGTGATGCCTCTGGTGTGAGGTCGGGTGGCACAAAGGGCCGATATCAAGGGGTTTACATCGTGCTTCTTACGGCACGGCTGCATCACGAGACACCCTCCTGCCGCTTATGAGTCCTCACAGAGGCTGAGTGGGGCCGGGAGGAAGGAGTGCCGCTGGGGAAGCGAGGGCTGCGTTGGCCGGCATCTCACCTGAGCGCTGCGGGCACCAGGGGAGCGGAGTCTTCTCAGTGGGGATACGGAGAACCACCTCGGTGTCTGGTGTGCACCTGAGCAGAGAGAGGAGGTACGAGGGACAAAGGAAAGAGCAGGAAAGGCAGCTGTGCTGAGGGAGCAGTGGACAAAAGCCCTATAAAAGCAGAGGTGGGGTTCTGGGGCACAGCCCTCGCTCAGCATGAAGCAGAGCGCAGCACTACTGCCCAGCAAACCTTATCCAGGCCGAGGGGCTCCGAGGGAGAAGAACAAAATCAGCTGCCCCTCCATCAATCCCAAAAGACAAACAAAAGCAGAGAAAGCACATCAGAGCAGCCGGTTACATCTGCTTTCTCACACGGAAAGGACAAACACAGCAAGCTGGGCTTGCTCAGAGGTGTGCACATCTGTCTGTGCATCAGGCCAGGTCAAACCGTGCCAAGAGTGCCTCCAATGCAGGACTCCAAACTGCTAGCAAAACCCACCTGGGCTCCCTTGAAGGATGGGGGTTTTTAAAGGAAGAAGACTGAAATGCAGACACAAATGGGTACATGGGGGCTTACAGCTCCTCGGGGCTTCACAGGTGCTGCCAGCAGCACGCAGGGAACCCAAGGAGAGCCAGCAACAGTCCCGCACCGCTGGGTGCCTTTGCACCTCCAGGCAAAGCACAGCTTACGCCCGATTTTACTCTTTCAAGAAGCAAAGCCTGGAACCAAAGGGTTAATTGCAAACATGGAGGGCTGGTGGAGTCGTGTGAAAAGTTGCAGGGAGGTCAGTGGGAATCAGCAGAGATGGCGGAGAGGCTCTGGCACGGAGCGCTGCCTGTCAGGGCGGGTAAGCACCGAATGCCTGACTTGTGATATTACACAAACTTTCCACTTGGGCCTTCCTGCTATTTTTAACTTTTCTCCCAGCCACCCTCAGTAACCCCAGCCCCACCAGCCTCACAAATTCCTTTTCTTTTTTGTTTAAATCATTCTTTTATCAGAAAAAAAAAAACCAACAACCAACAAATGGAAGTTGCACTGATCCATCATGCAGCCACTCGCCTCTCCCACAGCCTCCTGACACGTTCCAGGCTTTCCTCCTGCTTCACATCACGCCTCTGCAGCCGTACCTGGCTTACTGTTAGAACCCAACACGGGAGGTCCAGCCCCACTGGAGAGGAAAGCCTCCCTTAACAGCTATCTCTGCGCTGTGAGCAACGTGTGCAGCTGCTGCAAATAGACACAGGCATGCACCAAGTACTGCACACAGCTGCAGGTTTCAGGCTATGTCACAGTCAAGGTTTAAACGCATTTGACCAATTTTTGGTCAAGTTTATAACCCTGATCAGCTGAAAACATAGAAAGCTGAGGCACTCAGCTGCTCTAAATCACCTGTGCTCTGGGCAGGACCCCAGCACTGTGGGACAAGGTGCAGCATCAGGCCTCCAGCTTGCTGTCTGCTGGGATGGGCTCCCACCATGGCTGTGGTGGAAAACAACTTGTCACAGCAGGCTGCTGGTATACCTCAGCCTCCAGACTTGGCCAGCCTGTCCCTTGGCCCTGGAGAGGATAGCCCTACGGTCCCGTGAGCCATCTGGCAGAGCTTTCTCCCCGTCAACAAACAGCAAGGATTCTCCTTGCCCTTCATAACTTTAATATCCAGCATAAACACTGTGCACACTGGTAGGAGGGAGTGGAGATCAACCACAGCCTCCGTTCTGCAAGTAATCAGCCACCAATGAACGAGGGCAGGGAAAGAGGGCTGGGAAAGACAACAAAGTGTTGCCTTTTTGCTGCCAATGAATGCCTCAGACTTTTTTAATACATGTTCTGGAAATGGCTGCCCATCTTTGTTCCCCCAGACTGCTCGTGCCATTTCACACAACCAGCAAAGTGGCTTGAGATGGGTAAGTCCTGCCCTCCGCAGGAGCTTGGCCACAACTCTTTAGTTTTGCTTCCCAAATACAGAGAGAAAAGAACAATAAAGTAAGAATCGATGTGGTCACGAGGGCCTTGAAAAGCTCTGCTGCTTCTTCTGCCTGTTCCTGCAGTCAATAATTATCACCACTTACAGGATGGACAAAAGGAAGCCTAGAAGTGAGATGAGAAGTGACCAAAGCTGACAGCACACTGCTGTTATTTTGGCTGCTTCCTAGCTGCTATTAGGCAATTGCTATGGCAACAATCTGTCCCAGCAGGACCACAGTAAGCTGTGAGTTTATATCCCAGACTGCGTGTAGGTTTGACAGTGGCAGTCTGTGATCTGTGGCAGTTGCACAAAGGCTCAGCCCCAGACTCTTCCTACCCAAGGCCACAGAGAAAGGCACGTGCCTGCCCATCGACCAGCCTTTCTTCTCTGGGAATTCACTGGCTTACTTTGGTCTGCGGAGAAAAACGTCAGCAAAGATCGTCTCTCTTGGGTCTCCTGCACTCTGGCGGAGCGTCTGGACGCTTCTCTTCAGCTCGCTGATCTCCTCTTCCAGGTCTTTAATGATCTGAATGGATGACATTTCTAAGAGTTCTTTATTTTTACAATAGAAGCAGTAATTAAAGTTCTAGAGATTTTACAAACAGCAGAGGTAGAAAACATCCCTCATGCAAGTGAGTTCCCTAAGAGGACATCGTGAGGGTGAGCAGCCCAGCAGGCAATGCAGGAAGTCTAGCAGCCCACTGCCTCCAATGGAAGCAGAAAGCAACAGACCCCAGGCAGGCACACAAAACCCTCCTAAAGGGCCCATAAAGGGCCAGGGCTGAGGGCGGCTGGCTCTGCCCCAGTCCACTCACCTCTTTTTGTCTTCTTATTTCGTGTCGAAGAACATGATTGTTGATGACCATCTGCTTCAGCCCATCCTGGTGCAGCAACACCTCCTGTGTGGGTGAAGAGAAGAAACTCAACACAGCATGAGACCCTGCCACGGTCAGATGCCAAAGCTGGCTGCATTTAGATGCGTTATTCTTCAAGGAAATTCCTGCTTGAATAAGGTTTTGGTCCCAGGTCTACAAAGAAATCCCATTGGGATGACCATACAACAAGACTGTGCGACTCCAGAAATCTGGTTCAGCTTCCCAGGGAAAGCTTATGAATGCTGCTTGGGTTACTTGTGTCATCTGTGCTTACAAAATTCACCTGTAAAAGCAGACAGCAGTCCTGCATCAGAGCAAGCTGAACAAGGACTCAGTGATTGATATTTTCTCAGTGCTCTCAAGCAGCTAACCCAGAAAAAGTGCTAAGCATACCATGCAAGCAGGAACTGTACAAAAGGAGCTCTTTCTGCTCTGAGGTGAGTTTCCTCAGCAGTGTCCCCACCAAGCAGCCAGGCAGCTGCTGAGCAATGTAATAAAGCAGGGTGAACGTTGGATCACATGGCAAACTCTCAGGAACAAGCCTGAGAGCATTTCATCACATTAGAGTGGCTTGTTCATGGACACTCCCAGCTGACAGACAGCTCCAGTTTGAAGCAGAGCAGCAATGCTCTGTTGTTCTTTGTGTGTCAGCTAACGTGCTACTGCTAATGGGCAACATCTAGAAACCCCTGACTTGTCTCACAGCTCCCACACACTGATCCCCTCCACCAAGACATTCCACAAACCTCGGCAACTTTCTGTAATATCTCTTCTTGCTCTAGCTGTGTTTTTTCTTCCAGTTCCTCCAGAATGGCCTTTCCCATTTTTTCTGTCTCATCTATCTCGTCCTGAGAGCGGCAGGAGGCAATGCACAGAAACAACAAGAGCATTCATTAAGGCAAGCATTGCATTCCTTCCACCCCTGCCCTCTCCTGCCTCCCTAGTGATGCTGCAGGGGAGGAGAGGTCTCAGCACTGTTGTAATAGGTTACAACACAGCACCTGCTGTTGCTTCTTCAGGTTTTGGATGTCGGACAGCAGAAGGACTATCTGCATAGCTTGGTTTAGATAATGCACCTCTGTGTAGGTCCGAAGGATGCTGAGCTCATCCTGGAGAACCTGTACGTTTGATGTGACTTCATCCAGCTGCTGCTGTAGCTCTAATTGGAAGTCAAAGCAGAGAATGTCATTTCAGGGGTTCCACAGGCTGTCCTGCACACACCTGAGCCAGATGATACACCGTGTGGGAAGCAATCTGGATGAGGGAGACTGCATGCTATGCGAGCACAGGGAATGAATGGCCACTCCAAATCAGACCACCTCGACCAGATCCTGCCCCAGTGGAATGGTGCAAACAGCTGCCAAGGAGGTGAGCCTCCCCACCCCCTTTCACACGGGCTGATGGGTGCCACAGAGCTCTGCCCCTCCTGACAGGAACATTACCCCCACACAACAACTGGAAGATTCATTTTTCGTCTGACATTCATAACATCAGTGCAGTGTCTTAGGCCCTAACAAGATGGAAAGCAAAGGTAACACGTTTACATAAACCATATTTCATAGTAATGAGAGCAACTCACTTCCCAGATTCTTTTCCATTGTTTTTTCCATTTCCTGGAGCTCTGCCCTTGCCATATCCAGCTGGTTCTGACTGATGGTCCGTGTCATTGCCTCGATCATCTGCAGAGAAATCCAGACACTGATCTTTCCCCAGAACTATGAAATGTCCCCATGCAGCATCCCTAATGTTCCTCTCATGCTACTGTTTGTTCTAGCAGCACAGATGAATCTGCCACTGTGGTTAGTGCCAGCTTGTGGACCTGCACTGGGGATTGTCCTGGAGCTTCCAGGAACCACCTTCCCCCACAGAAGGATGTATTTGGGCTGTTAGAAGGCTGACTACTCTTGCTTGGGACAGTAACCCATCAGGAAGCTCTGTGGCTTTAAAACACAGGCACAAAACAAGAGCATCTCACAGAATCATTGGGCATTGGAGAGCTCCCCTAGCTCTGGGGATGCTCCAGTCAGTGGAACTGACCATGCAGAGCCTGGCCATTCTTCACTACTAACCAGGAGCAGTGGCACATTTCATGTTCTGCTGAACTAGGGCTGTTGGCCAGCTCTAAAACCTCACCTGATACACTTCAAACTGATGCAGCAAGTCTCTGGCTTGCTTGGCAGTGCTATCATCAGTGTGCTGGATGTCCTTCATCAGCCACAAGTTGGTCTTTGCCAGGTGGTCACCGCACTGCTTCAGCTCCTCTATGGCTTTTGTCTTCAGCTTGGTCAGGAGCTACAGGAGTTTGTGGATTAATGGATGGCAGATTCCATCAGTGCCACCTGCCCCAAGTTTGCTCACTATCACCTGTCACCCCCAGGACACTCCTATCCTATGCAAGGCATCATGCAGCAAGCCTCACCTCATTGCCAAGGCACTGACTTCTCCCACCCATCCCAGTCCTGCTTCCACATTGCTTACTACCTGCTTTGTGATGATCAATAACCACCCTTAACCTACTAAAAAACTCCACCTCAACCTCCCCTTTGCTAGACTGAGAAATTTTGGCACCGTCAGTCTTTTCTAACAGGTCACATTTCCTAAACCTCATCCCTTCCACTGCTGTAGCCTGGGCTCTCTGGGTCTATCTTCAGTTTTCCTTAACAAACATCAAGGTTAGATTACAGCAGCATCAAGCAGAGCACCACAATTACCAGTGTATTAATAAATGAATATGTGCCATTTTGCCACAGTGAGTCAGGCTGCTAGAATTTCCTCCATAAATGCAACCTGGGTAACTGCATGGATCGGCTCCCCACACTGCAGCCCCGGGTATTTGTTACATGTACCGTGGTCACTTTCATCTCTTCCAACACTCCAGCTAATTCAGCCTCCTTGAGCACCCATTTCCTCTCAGTGAATGCTCTGTGCTTCTCTTGGGAAGATGTCTTCAACACCAAGGGGGTTGTTTTCCTCGACACAAACGCTGCTGCTGAAACAACCAAAAAGCCCCGGATGTGTTTACGCACCTCACACCCACCCCTCCTGTCACGTGGGGCTGAGGGAAATAAGATCAGCTGAAAGGCTGATTTCAAACCTCCTGCAGCCCCAGCAGGAGCAGCTCACTCTCAGCCCAGCAGCAAAGCCTACAGAGCCTTTCCTGCTCTTTTCCACTCCCCCCTCTTTATCCTCAGCTGCTTTTTGTGCCTTTTGACGAATGCCTCCCAGCAGAAAGCACAGAGTGAATGCAAACGTGGCACCGGGGGGTGGCAGTGACAGAAAGGCAGCGGATAAAGGGAAATCTCTCCCAACCTGCCTTGTTCTTCTGCCCTTTCTTCTTGCCTCCGTCGGTGATTGGTGGCAAAGCCAACTCGTGGGCTGGAAGTTTCCTCTCTGCTGTTGCCTTCTGCCACGTGCTGCCAACCTGAACTCAACATAACGCCACACACAACGGATTAGGAGTCACAAAGGCCTCCACGGCCCGGCCCGCCCTTCTTCCTGCCCTCTCCTCGAGCTCCCCTCAGCTCCCTTCACCACCACCCGTCTGACCGGTCGCAGCCACAGCGCTCCAAACCCCACAGACCCCTCGGCAGCTCAGCACTTACTCTTCCCTTCAGCTCCACCACGGCTCTCGGGCCCTTCGCATCCATCCCCGCAGCCCCACGTGTCGCACCGCCATCCAGTTGCGGATCACGGACCCGGCGCGGTGCCGCCTCGGGCCGCCCGAGCCGCGCTCGTTCTTCTGTCGCCACGGCAACCGGCGGCGGGCAGCCAATGGGAGCGCGCCCTGAGGCCTCAGCCAATGGGAGCCGCCCCCTCCGGGCAGCCCGCGGTCTCCGGGGCAACAGCGCGGCTGCGCTCCGCCATTGGCGCCGAGCGGGGCGGGCGGCAGCGGGGGAACGGCGCGGAGCCGCGACGGGACGGGAGTGAGGGATGCGGGGCTGCGGGCGGGAGGGAGAAATAAATTACGGAGTAAAGTCCCGGGGATGCGAATGTGGTCCGTACACACAGCGTACGGACGGGGTTACGGATTGTGCTCGTGGTTGGGTGACTCCCGAATAGCCGCGTTGCGGTGTTGCGCGTTCGGCTCCGCGGGGACGGACCTGTCCAAGTGATGGAGGGATGCAAGCGCGGCGGCGGAACGACGCCAGGGGTCGCGGGGTTGGGGAGTTCGGGTCGGGAGGAAAGCGCTGCTGTGCTCGGAGCAGCACCGAGGGCACCGAGGGGGGACCGACGTTTGCTTCGTGGCGAGGTGCTGTGCTGCATGCAGGGTTTCCATAGGCAGAAAGTAAAGGCAGTTTCGTGGCACAGGCACGGGGAGCGTCACCGTCCCTGGGGCGTTCAAGAACGGTGGAGGTGTGGCACTGAGGTGTGGTGGGCTGGTGTTGGTCTTGGGGACCTTAAAATTTCCAACCTGAATGATCCCACGTGTCTATGGAGTACGGGGGTGAGCGGGGAAGGGGCACGGGAGGGGGGTTGGAGACCCCGGGAGGGAAGCGGGATCCCGGTGCTGGAAGCTGTGGGGTGAACCGTGGGCACAGCGATGCTCGCGCTGGGAGGTCGCTGGGAAGCGCCCCCCCCCCCCCCCCCCCCAGGGTGCGGGTAACGGGCGCGCCTCGGTGCCGTTCTCTCCAGCAACCCTTCTCCGGTGGTCGCCCATTGGCAGCGGGGGAAATTCCCCCCCGCCCCGCGCCCAATGGGCCGGGAGGGGCGGCGCCTCCCATTGACAGAACCGGCGCGGCCGTGTTTACCGGGGGCGGGGCGGGGCGGCGGCGGCGGCTGCCGATGCTATAAGAGCAGTACCGGGGGGCGAAAGGGGCGTGCGGCTACAAGGCTGCCCGCACCGCCCCGGACCCGCAACCCGCCCGGACCGAGCGCATCCCCGAACCGATCGCATCCCCGGGGCGGTGCGGAGCGGACCCGATCCGACCCAGAGCATCCCCGGACCCAGAGCATCCCCAGAGCATCCCCGGACCCAGAGCATCCCCAGAGCGCTGCAGCGCATCCCCGAGCCGCCGCATCCCGAGGTCCCACCGGAGCCGCCCCGCAGCCACCGCCCCGGCGGAGCCGTGCCCCCCCGGGTCCCTCCGCGGCCCCCCGCGCCCCGCCCCGCCGCCGCCGCCCGTTCCGCACAATGGGGGCGGCGCGGCGCGGCGCGTAGCGGCCGGCGGGGAGGGAGAGGCGGCGGTAAGGGGGGCACCGGGGGGGCCGACATGGTGCAGCGAGCCATGCGGGGAAGGGGCTCGGAGGGGCGGCGGGAGCCCTGCGCTCCTCTGCCCGCCCACGACGCGGAACCCGCCTGGTGCAAAACGCCCAGCGGTCACATCAAGCGGCCCATGAACGCCTTCATGGTGTGGTCGCAGCACGAGCGCCGCAAGATCATGGACCAGTGGCCCGACATGCACAACGCCGAGATCTCCAAGCGCCTGGGTCGGCGCTGGCAGCTCCTGCACGACTCCGAGAAGATCCCCTTTGTGAAGGAGGCCGAGCGCCTGCGCCTCAAGCACATGGCCGATTACCCCGACTACAAATACCGCCCTCGGAAAAAGGGCAAAGTGGGCACCGCCACCGCCCGCCCGCGTCTCCCGGTGAAGATCAAACCCTCGGTGCTGGGCCGCGTCCCCGCCGCCCGCAGGCAGCCCTCCAAGCCGCCCCCCGAGCCGGGCATCGCGCAGCGCCCGCCGGAGCCGCCCGTCGAGGACCGCCCCGGCACGGCCACGTGGAACGCGGTGCCCACCGGCGAGCGCAGCCCCGCGGCCGCCACCAGCCCCGAGCCGCGCCCGGAGAGCGCGTCCCCGTCTCCCGCACCCGCCGGTTCGCCTCCGTCCTCCTTGGGTTCCTCGGACGAGGAGCTGGAGGAGGAGCTGCTGGGCGTGCTGCCCGCGCGGGCACCGGGTGGCACAGCGTGCGGGGCTCTGGACTGGTCCGTCCTGGACAAGGACCTCGATCTGTTCCCGCGGGGCGCGTCCTCGCACTTCGAATTCCCGGACTATTGCACGCCCGAGGTGACGGAGATGATCGCGGGGGACTGGCTCATGTCCAGCATCTCGGACTTGGTCTTTACCTACTGAGTGCCGCGCTCTGCAGGTAACTCCTCTTCTTTTCCCACAATCAGGTCGTCTCAAAAAAACAAACAAACAAAAAAACAAAACCGAAACCAGCTGTTTACATGCAGGAATCAGGTATTTAGCCTTGAAGCCGCTGGAAGGCAGAGCTCCCTGCTCCCCCCATCCCCCCGGCACACACCCACTCCTCCATCCATCCATGGCGGTGCAGGGCTCAGCCCTCCTCGCTGCACGGCACGCTGCCGTTCTTCGCCCATGAAAGGCGGCTGCCTGGCAGGGTCCCATTGTCACCACCCCCTGCCGGACCCCTTCCCCCTGTAGCTCTGTCCCTGCCTCGCGCTGCCCCGTTTTCTCCTCCTTAGCTCTCCCACTCGCCCATCCCTTGGAGAACAGCCAATTTCCTTTATTATCCTTATTGTTGTTATTATTATTATTATGGCTTTTTTGGATAGCATAGAAAGCACGTCTTCGATTCTCTCCTGTTCCTCATAGCAGCCCTTCGGGAGCGCTACCTTTGGCCGCGCCGTGCCCGAGGCTCTCCGTGGTGGCACAACCCATCTCAGTCCTTCCCTACCTGCTGCCCTGTGCTGTGGGGTCCCCGCCTTTGGGGTTGGGGGTCCCTCAGGACCGGTTCTCTCCTTGCGTTTTGGCTGCGGCGCGTTCTCCCCGCCACTCGGTTTGGGGCAGAGCGAAGTTGCACGCACGTGATCCGCACGTGGCGCGGGGAGCCTGCGTTATTCCTCTCTCCAGACATTTGTGCACAGCCACCCGCACCGTGAGCCCGTGCCGTAGGGCAGCCTGCCCGGCATTAATGCCCAGGCGTGGGGTGCCCATGCCTGTATGGGACCCGCTCCGGGCTCATCCCCCCCAAGGCTGGCGAAGCCTGTGCTGCAGGAAATCTGCCTTAAGCTCTCGCACGGGGCCGCCGCCGCCACCAGCAGCTGATGCTGGCGGAGATGTGGGGTGCGGGCGGTGCTCCGGTGCAGCGATCCTCTGTGGTGCGTCCGGTGTTGGCTCCGAGAGCCTGGGTTTCACCGCAGAGCAGCGCTGCGGAGCTCCCCAGCAGGGCAGCTCCTGCTGCAGCGCTCCTCCGGCCGCGTTTGTCTTTGCTTTCCCCAATGGTTCCTTCCTGCAGCAATCCTCCTCCTCCCGCTGTCTGTGAGCACATGGCCGTGGTGCCGGCAGGGCGGGGGACGCGGGGCTCCATCCCACGTCCGTGTGGCACAGAAGCGGCCTCTGAGGTCCTCGATTCCAAAGTGGGAATCTGGGCACGAAGGATCCCCCTAACCCTACCCGCCCCCGCTTTTGGGGGGATGCCATTTCCTCCGGTTGCACGCAGCCCCGCGTGCACCCGTTGCAATGGGGCTGGATGGAGCCACGAGCAGGGCGCGCTCAGCCCCTTTGTCCCCCTCTATGGGGAGCAACGTGGGGCTGCTGGCGTCGCCGGAGATGCCGCAGGGAGCGCCGTGTCCCCGCTAAAGGGCACCGGGTGCCTCCAGCCCCAGTGGCCGCGGGGCTGCGGAGCCGCGAGCTCAGCGTTATCGATGTGTAGGTGTGTAGAGGTAGCTGTGGTGTGCGTGTGTCTGGTGTTGCGTCCCCGACGGTGTTTAGTAGCCCCGGTGCGGCTGCGATCCTGCGAGGCAGGCGGGCACCGCCCACATGTCCCGATGTAGAGAGCATCCCTCCCCCTCCCCCCCCAGACCCTCTCCCTCCACTCCAACCCAGCAGAAAAGCCAAATGCCGAGGGGCTCCACGCACAAACCGGGTTTGGGGTTCATTGAAGGGCTTCCCCGGCGCACAGCTCCCACCCGACACCTCGCTGCCTTCTGGGGGCATCGGAGCCCCCCCTACCGCCGCCACGTCCCACGCGGGGAGCCAAACCCCAAAAACCGGCAGGGCCCGAGGCCACGGTGCGGGGCTGCATCCCCAGCGTTTCCTCAGGACAGGCTCTGGCTCAGCCCCCCCCCTCCGAGCCCGGCCTCAAGCACAACACCGTGCGCGTGGTCCCCGTCCCCCCGCCCGTCGTGGCCCCTCCTGGTGGATGTTCTGTGCTATGTGATTGTAGTGCATAGAAACCCCCCCTGTCCGTCCCGCCGAGCCCCCATCCCCTCCCCCGGTGTGCGAGCGAGTGTGCGTGCGCCATCCTCATCACTAGAGACAAAGCGAATCGTCATTAATAATAAGTGGAAAAAATAATAATAATAATAATTAAAAAAAAAAAAAATAAACCAAACCTCTCTCAGGAAGAAGCCGCCTCGGCGGCATCCCAGCGGGCCGGAGCTGCCGCGAGCACTCGGGGTTCCTTTGGTTGTGTTGGGGAGGGGTCCTGCAGCTGTTGTCTTGGGCTGGTGGAGGGGATGTCCCACCCGTGGCCACCCCGACGGCACGGCCAGGGCCGGTGGTGTGGAAGCTCGGCTAGTGGTTATCCCAGTGTTGTGACTATGGAATAAAGTGTGTTGGTCTGCTCCACGTGGCTCCGGCTCCTCCTGCGCCGCTTACACCTCCCCAACCCGCACAAATATGGGGACCCCCCAGGGATGTGGGGTTCTGGGGGTCAGAACCCAGCTCCGGCTCAGACGCGGTGGTTCCCATACAACTCCATGGGGTTCCACTACCAACCCGTGGGTCCCAACACTCAGTGGTGCTCCAATACCAACCCACGCAGGCTGTACCTGTGTGTGCACAACCATGCATCCATGAGCACCGTGTGCTCTGTGCATGTGCTCCATGCATGCATGTGCTCACGCAGCCCCATTGGCTCCATGATGTGGCAGCAGGCATTGATCTGGCCCCACTGGATGGGGCCTCAAGGGGAGGGCACACAGCGCTTGCATCACTCCCCCCCTCCAGCTGTTGCCACGGCAACAAGGGAGCCTGCAGCATCCTTGGGTACCACAGCATCCCTGGGTACCACCTGCCCTCCCATCCCTGCTGGGGGAGGGGCTGGGCACTGGGCTGGCCCTGCTGAGACCCCCCCCCGATACCCACAGGACAACACCCACTGTGGGACATGGAGGTGCCTCTGCCTGCGATCTCGGCAGCACTGAACAGCCTGGCTGTGACCCAGGCATGTGGCAGCCTTTGGCTGTGAGTCTGAGCTCCTATACAGTGACCCCACGACACAGCAGTGTGCTGGGATGCCCCTGGTCCAGCCTGGCCTTGCTGAGCACCCGGTGCTGCCCGCACAGCCACGTGTCCCCACCGCCAGCCCCGCTCTGAGTCACACACAGCAGCGGCTCACAGACGGTGGCAGCTCTCAGCCGTGCAGCAGGGAGTCACGCTGCTCCCTTCACACTGCCCCAAAACCCCCTTGGGAAGCAGGGAGTGTGCCCAGCACTGCCTCTATCACTGGGTCCCAGCTGTGGGATCCCACACAGAGACGGGGACAGCAAAGTGAGCACTGCTGGTGACAGCGCTGGGACAGGGAAGGATGTGCTGAAACCACCCCCCCCAGGTAAGCAAGGAGCAGGTAGGGGTGATGCTGTGTATTGGATGCAGGATGGATGTCCCTCCCAAACCCAGGCAGCACCCCCTGCATGCGAGAAGGACCCTGTGGCTTCACTGGGGTTGTGGCATCAGGATGTTCCCAGCAATGGGGGACTGCTGCTCCCCCCCTGTGAGGCCTCTCCGGCGCCAGGCTTTGTTCAGCATCACAGCCCAGCACCGAAAGGGTCCCACACGTCATCTCCCCCCTCTCACACACCACGCTGCAGGGACGCAGTGACGAAGGGCTGAGCAGGCAGTTCCCATGGCAATGTCCCTACGGCGGCGGGGAGGGACACGGCGCTCTGACTGCGGTGGCTGCGTCCCCGCACCCAGCAGCCCCCCGGCCGTGGGGACACAGTGGAGGCCACGTCCCTCCCCGCCGCCGCCCCTCCATCCCTATTGGCGCCTATGGGGCACTGCAGGTGGGCTGATGTGGGTCCCGATCCTGCTGGGTCTGTCCCAGATCAGGCAGGGCACGGAGTGCCCCCTCCCCTATTGCATCCCATGGGATAAGGGCTTTGCTGTCCCAGGCAGAAACAGCAGTCCCTCTCGGTGCTCCCCAGAACGGGCAGGGGGGCACATCTGGCACCAGCACCCCATCCCCTGCCCTGTGCCCAGAGGAGAACTAAGCCCTATGGGTGCTGTGGCTGTGGGGAGGGCTCAGGTGATGCAACAGCCCCCCACGACCCCCCCAGGCCAGATGCCCACCCTGCAGCCCTCCTGCAGCTGCAGCCGCGGCCCCAGCGTGGCACAGGGGAAGTGGTACGGGGTGCGCTCCTACCTCCACCTCTTCTATGAGGACTGCGCCGGGGCCAGCCCTGATGGGGACACAGATGAGTCTTCACCTTCCCATCCCCATGGTGTATGGCCCTCCATTATCTGGAAGGTAAGAGATCTCCCTCTCCCAATTTTTTCTTCCCTCTCATCTTGTGTGAAATACTCAGGCACCCCCACACCTGCCCTGCACTCCTCTAGGCTGACCCGCTCCCCATTCCTGTTCCCAGGTGACCCTCTCCACAGGCACTCTGTTTCTGCTGGTAGGAGTGGCTGCCCTGACTACAGGCTGGCTGGTGCCCCCCAGGCTGGAGAGCATCGAGGAAGAGGATCTGGTGGTGCTGGACGTGCAGGCCATGCGCTACAACCACGTGCTGAGTGCGTGCTGGCTGCTGGGCACGGCGCTGTGCATCACAGCTGCAGTGCTGGGTGCTGTGGGGCTGCTGTGCTGTGTGCTGGGCAGAGCTTGGGGTGGCCCCCAAGAAGAGGAGCAGCAGCTGTCGCCCATCCTGCAGAGCAGCCCCCAGGGTCCCGCGGTGCCCTTCGGTGCCTCCCAGCTCCATGGTGTCCAGCCCCGGCAGGAGGTGTGAGTGCACTGGGTGCACTGCTGCTGCTAGGTAAAATGCTGGGAAATGCCCTGCTTGAGGCTGTGTGCGTGGGGGTGGGCAGAGCGGGAGGAGGGGAGGCTGCTTGGGCCGGGGTGCTGCAACCCAGTTCATAGATGTGATGGAGATGGGATGGGATGCAATGGGATCGGATAGAGCAGGCAGCTGCCCAGCAAAGCCCTGATCCTGACCTGACACAGCCTGATCTCAGCCCAGATCCAGCCTGGACTCAGCTAGATGCCACCTTGGATCCCCGCCTGGCACCCAGATGGCTGATCCCAGATCCCAGCTGTGCCACAGGGACTCCCTGCACTCAGCGTCTGGAGCATCCTGTGTACCATCAGCCACCACCAGGTCCTGGCCCAGGACATCCCAGCTCCTCCACCTGCTCCCCAACCAGCCATGGGGTCGGACAGGCACAACCAGCAGCTGCAAATGCCCGATGCTGCCAGGTGCCTGCAGTGGGGGCAGAGCACAGCACCCTGCCTTGCAGCCCCACGCGTTCATCCACGCCGCAGCCCTTGGGATGGAGCACATGCTCTGCCTTGGTTTCCTTCATTTTGCTCTTTCTGGGGTGAATAAAAGACACGTGGCTGTGGGCTGTTCTTGCTGCTGAGGCTCAGCTCCGGGGCAATGAGTGTTGTGCATGGGGATGTGTGCTGCAGCAGCAGTGCATCAGAGCTGGGCAGGGCTGCTACAACACAGAGCACTGCTGGGCACAGGCACCCACCTGCCCCTCACTGTCCCAAGGGTTGCTGCACAACACCCAAGATCATTTTCTTTCCTTCAGTGAAGACAACTGAGTACAAATACCCTGCCAGGTTGGGAGCAGCCCTACGCCACCACAAGGGACTGAGCCCACCAAGGGGTCTGTGCAGCTCTCAAATGCAGCTCTGCAACCCACACAACGTTCAAGCATCCCTTGCTTCCTTGAGGAAGGGGCCGCAGGGCCTCTGCTTTCGCATTCCTTCTGAAGGGCTGAGGGCACTATTAAGAAAATTGCTCCTCCAGAGGAAGTCAGAGCAAGCTAAAAATACGCCTGGCTGAGCTGGTAAACACGGCCACCAGCCTCACGCAGAGCACAGGGACACCACAGAGGGGCACAGTGCCCAGCAGTGCGGGATCTCCTCCCGGCCGGGCAGCCAGCCCCAGGCACACAATGGGCTGCTGGGTCAGGCTATTTCCATCTCTGTGCTGCCAGCCGTGCTGCTGGCGTGGGGAAGGCTGGGAGAGCCAAGGGCAAAAGCGCATGCCGGCATTCCAGAGCCGTGGGCAGAGGGAGGGCAGCAGCACAAAGGCACCCGGCTGGCTCCTGCTCCTCTTCCCACGCTGTCCTGGCTGCTGTGGGATGGGACGCGGCCCCAGAGCGCACGGCAGCGCTGGCCCCTGGTGGCACAGGGGGAGGAAAACGTTTAGTAACTGTTTATTTTACAGCAATAGGGTTTGTACAAATCTGCATTTACACAGGTATGTATAAGTCTGTACAGAGTCACTGGAGCACCCCGAGAGACCACCCCCTCGCTCGCCCTTGCCCTGGGCAACGCAGGAACTAAAGTGCACGGTGGGCAGAGAGCAGGGGGCTGCAGGAGGGCGCTGTGCCCCCCCACACCCCTCACCTGGGGGGGGGGGCAGAGGGCACCCAGGCACTGCACTGCCCAGGTGTGGCAGGGGACCCCCAGCAGCACCTCCAGCTCGTGGCACAGCCACCACAAACTCTGGTACCACAAATTTCTAAAGTGCAAAGTCACAGCCTGTTTCCCTCACTGTTACTGCCTTGGCAGAGGCTGCTGCTGCCCCATACTGCCAGTCCCCACACGTGCAGGAAAGCACTCTGCCTTCAGCCACGGAAACAGCCACACAGGCTGCCACCAGCCCTCAGGAGAGGCAGAGAGAGCCCTGGTGTTGGCACCAGTAAGTGGCACGGCCAGGAGATGCCAACACAGGTGAGGGACCAGGTCCTGCTTCCCTGCCTGTGCCACAGAGCGAGGGCCCACGGGGCAATCCAAAACTTGCATGGATGCGGTGATGAATTTGCACACAGGTGGTCAGGGACAGGAGGGTGCTGAGCCTTGCAGGGCATGAGCTTCCTTCTATAACCAGAAATCTACAACTCTTCAACCAGCATCTGCTTTTCAGGTGTGCAGCCCCTGGGCACAGCACGGATGGCTTTGGGCACAAGACAGCAGGGGCAGGCAGCTGGGTGGGAACCAGTCGGGGCAGGTAAGGGCACTTGTGGGAGGTTTAGCAGTTCAGGGGGGAGGTAGAGGCATAAGGTGTCTGTTGGCTTTGTGTCAGTGGATACGGAGCTCTTGGAGCAGAATTTGCTGCTGAGCTTTCTTAGCAGGCAGGGAGCAGCAAGGCTGGGCCAGGTGGGGCATGCAGCACTGGGGTGGCCTTTCTGGGAAACCCCTCATCTGTGTTATTCTGAGGGGTGTCACGGACTCTGATCAGCTTGTGGAGGTGAATTATGACAGATGTCTGCAGCAGACTTTTTTGTCCTGTGCAAACTGTTTCTAAGTGTAAAAAAAAAGCCATTCTCCACTTTGGAGTCTGCTCCCAGAGCTGTGAAAATGAGCAGCGTTAACGGCTCTGCTAATGCTTGTGGTGATGGGATCTGACACAGGCAGGATGAACAACGCCTTCATCACCTCACTGACCTGATAACACGACTGTGCTGCTGTTGCCAGCAGAGGACCCCGCCAGACCTGTCCCCTGCAAGCTGACCAGTCCACAAACAAGAAAGTGGAATCACAAATTGTTATGCATTGGAGATGACCTCACGGCGGGGTGCTGACAGGGGCCTGGTACAGGTTTGCTTCTACTGAGAGGCTGCCTGTAAGGAAAGAGAAGGGTCAGAGCACTGGTGAATGCAAATGGAGAAGGCAGGCTGCCCTGGCAGCCAGAGTGATACAGAGCCAGAGGGCTCCTCTATTCCACAGGAGCACGTACAAGCCTCTCACCACTAAGCAGGCCAAACCCTGCCCTGACACTCCCCCCTAGGTGAGCACCTGCCCTCACTCCCACTCCCAGCACCTCCTCACTTCCCAACAGAGGAAGTGGGATTGCCTCAGCACAGCCCACGCACAGCTCACCACTCGTGGTCACTTGCACAAGGCTGGAAGTCAGACTCATCCATACAGTGGCAGCATCCACCTGCTTGCCCCTGCACGGGGAGGAGAAAACAAGGTGAGTGTCGGTGTGGGGAACAATCCTGCTGGACTGGTTCCCATCAGTCTCTGTCACAAAGGCCAAGAGCATCACGGGACGCAGCAAGAACAGAAAACTCTTCAGACAGGTTGTTTCCAGACACGTCCTTCCAAACATCATTCCGTGTCGACGTGGGATGTGACGACAAGGTAAGCACTTCCTTTGGCGTCAGGGGAAAATCTGTAGTTCAAACTTAGGTGCCCACTCCAATGCACTCTTCACCACAGCCAGGGCAGCTGCTCCCAGTGCCACCGTCAGCCCCATCACTGCCAGCTTGACAAAACGGTTGGTCCTTGGCTTTGTCAAAATGGATTTTGTCCGCTCCTCCCCTCGGAGCCTCTCCCTGAAGCGCTGTCTCAACACAGTGTCTGGTCTCTGTTGCACTGATGCCAACTCAAAGTCCTTAAAAGTGGAAGCCGCGGTCCTGCAAGAGAAGAAATGGGTCAAGAAATGCCCTAGAGCCTCCTGTCTGGGCAGGGAGGTCTTCACCAGGCAACGAGACCCGGCCAGGGCAAGGTGCAGAACCCAGGCACAGCTCCTACAGCGGGGGCACGAGGCTGCCCTGCACTCACCGCTCAGCCTGCTGCTGTGCCGCCTCCCTGGCGAGCTCAGATGGAGGAAACTGAACAAAAAGGTCCCCTGCTCTGCTGATCAGAGTCTCATAAGGAAGGTCCTGTGGGATCTGGGACAGGAGGTGGTGCACCGAGGCCATGTCGCACTCGCAGTCCAGAACTTCCTGCTCCCGGTAAAGCACAATCTGCAGAGGAGAGAGAGCACTGAGCACAGCCAGGGAAACAGGGGCAGCTCCTTGTTCCTCTTTGACACTTCAGGGCCAGCAGAGAAAAACATTTCACTCCTGTCTGAAAGATCTGCCCTTCCTCAGGGGATACACTGCACTGAAACACAGCCCATATGGGAAGAGAAACGCAGAGGGCAGCAGAGCACCAGCAGTGCCAGACCCTCTGTGCAGCCCTGCAGCACCTTGCAGTGGCTCAGTACATCCCCTGCCACCATTCCAGCCAACACGTACCACAGCAGCAAAATAAATGGGCATCAGTGGATGGCAAGCCAGGAAGAAGTCGTATAATCGCACGACGTGCCTGAAGTCAGACAGAACGTGCCCAAACCACGTGATGAGCCAGCTGAGAGCAAAGATGGTTCCCACCTCCGCACTGCACAGAGAGAAAGCACAGTTAGGTCAGCTGCTGCTGGCAGCTTGGAGACACTGCTGAAGCACAGCCAGCTTTTCACATTCAACCCTGAAACTTAGCACTGCTCTAGAATTTGCAAGCTTGATACCCGAAGGCATGCTGGCTGTGAAACACTGACAGACAGCTGCCCAGAAAAGGGCTCTGCACAGACCCTGCTGACTTACCTCCTCACTTCTGCTTTATTCTATTCATGCTACACTTCTGCATCCCTGCTGCACAGCCTGGCAATTATCCCCAGAGCTAGCAACAAACCACAGAGATGCAACAGCAACCCCAAAACTGCAAACTGCTCACTTGCAGCTTCGTATGACATGGAATGCAAAGTAATGCAACCCCCAGCTTTTCCAACACAGGCCACTGGGGTGAAGACACCATCATTTAAAAGCTCCCAGGATAGGCAGCACGTTTGGGTCTGCTTGTAAGCAGGGTGCCACGTGGCTCTGGACCATTGCCATGAGCTGTGGGCCAGCTGGTGACTCACAAGAAGCCTCCATGGTGCTGGGGACAGACTGGTGCAAATGGCCCCAAGTACGATAATGTGAGAGAGGTAGGGCAGAGCCAGGGAACGTCTGCGTACCTCTGCATGAAGTCATGCACCTCAGGGTTCACCTGGTCTATGATGGGCATCAGGTAATTCAAAATGTGCTTGGTATTATCCATTGTTGGGTCCATAAAATCCCTGAGAAAAGATTTAGAAAAGAATTCTGTCAAGAAACAACATCAGTGAGTTTCTCCTCCAGTGAGGCACACAGGAAGTAAGTAAATGCACTGCAATAAACAGCTTTGCTGGGAGGGTGGCTCTCAGTCCCAGAGAATTCTGTCTGTAAAGCTCCCTGCCTACCAATCTGGGTGCACACAAAACCTGGACCCAGACCATCACAGTGGTGTCAATGGACACTTCTTTCTTTGCTGTACACACGGGCCCTAAAGCCTTTTCAGCTTGTCACATGGGAGAGGAGACAAAACCCCTCCAAAGCACTCACCACCTTGAAGGCTTGCTCTCATTTCAACGCACAAAGAGGAAAGGCATTTAACCTGGGCCTTAGGACACTGGCTGTACAGACCACAGTTTCAGTACAGAACTTCCCCAGGGCTCTATAAAGGCTGAGTGGGAAGCACTGTGCTGAGCCCTAGGAGCCAGCGAGGCCCTGACAGGACAC